GCTTTCCTGAGGCACAAGGTGGCTCTCATCTCACCCACAGTGCTCAGGGACAATGGGATCCCCTTCAGCTGTGTGACTCAGGAGGCTGGGGAGTTCGTGGTGACGTTTCCCTATGGCTATCATGCTGGCTTCAACCATGGCTTTAACTGTGCAGAGGCCATCAATTTTGCCACCCCTCGGTGGATTGATTATGGTAAAGTGGCTTCTCAGTGCAACTGCGGGGAGGCAAGAATTGGCTTTTCCATGGATTGTTTTGTGCGTATCTTGCAACCTGAAGGATTTGAGCTGCAGAATCAGGCTCAAGACTGTGCGGTAATGAAAGAGGGAGAACCCCTGGTGCATGCTAAGCAGAAGCTGAACACCAAGATGAAGGTGTGCTTTCATTGTAAATCTTCCCCTGGCCCAAGGCACCTGCGTGGTAGGGGATCCAGGTGTCTCAATGAATCTCTTTACACTGTCACTGTGGGCAGGCGCTCCACTCCCATGCCTACTGTGTGTAGGCTCCTCTCCTCCTCCCAAAGGGCTTCTGTTCAGCACCAGGCTGCAGTCATCAATAGCTACCAGAGGCCCACCCCGATCCAGTCCTTGACTCCTGGTCTGTTCACCCCAGATTTCCAATTCTCAGCAGGCAGACCGAGTAGAGGTCGTCATCCTTGGAAATCAAAGGCTCAGGGGTCAATACTGCTGGCTCAGACCCAAAAGCTCCTAGTGGTGGGCACAGGAGATACAGCTCTGTATTCAGAGGATCAGCCCATGCCTGAGGATGGAGTTTTGATGGAGGAGCCTGTGTCTGTGAGCCGTGGGCCTCAGTTTTCTGGGGATGCTTTTGGCTGTTGTTGTGCCCCTGATCTGCAATTCTTGGGACCCCCACTAGATCCCCACAATCCTATGCACCCTGGTTCATGCTTGCTGTCCCTGGATGACATTACAGCCGATCTTCCTTTAATTTTCCCAGCTACTTCTCCTAATGTCAATATGCCTTTGAGAAGGTTCTCAGGGGACACTGCTGGCAACAGCATTACCCCTGTGAACCTGGCTGAAGTTGTAAGGATGGACCACTCTTATTCCCGTAGAATCCTGGATTGAGCAAATGTTTTCAGAAACCATTTGCCACTGATTCAGTTCAGAAACACTTCACCACTCACAGTGGTGGCCCCTGCCTGTCCCTAGTGAAGCCTGACACATTTCTCGGGATGTCTGAGGCTTTTTCTTTTCATGACAACTAAGGGTCCCAGTGACCTCTGAAGTGGAATCTCCCACCCTATAGGCTGCCAAAGGAGATAGGAGTACCATCCAGGGACTCAGCCCATTACTGAATATGGATGTGCCTGTGGTTCCTACTGTGGTCTAGATGCCACAGACATCTCTTATTTACTTTGTCACCCTCAGGACACTTCCCCTGCAGTGCTGTGGGTTCAGTTCCCACAATCATTTGGGCTAAAACTGATTGATGCTGAGGATCTGGGTGAACCTCTTAAGTCACCAATCCTGGCTTCTACTGAGCCTTTCCAGTCCTTCAATGGTAACATGCCCTACCTCTCAGGCCCCCAGCAATCACTGTTCATGTAGGAACTAGATTTATGAAGAATTGAATCTGGCTGTCAGTTAGGGCCTCAGGGATATTTTATCCTTTTATTGTTGGCTAGGGATGCAGTTCAGTAGTAGAGCCTGGCACTGTCAACAATAAACAATCAAAAATGTTATTCCTAATGTGTATCTGTAAACCAAAAAGATAAAATCCTTAAAATATCTTTTTAAGATCAGATTTGTATAAAAGAGGTATATCTAAAGCACAATATTGCCAGGGATTTAGCTCAGTGATTCTGCTGCCTGCCTCTCAAGAGCAAGGACCCAAGTTCGATACCTGGTACCAAAAAAAAAAGAAAAAAAAAATAAAGAATGGGCAAAGCCTTACCATGGAAAAGGCAAATAGGAATTATGAATCTTAGTATCAGACAAGCTAATGGAGACCAAGTCTACATAGAAGGACTACTTATAGTACTAAATATGAAATTTCACAATGGAAGCATAGCCACGAATACCGAGCAACTTATGTTCATTTAATTTTTAAATGTTTTAATTGAGGTAAAGTATATGTTACAACATTTATTATTTTAACAGTTTTAAGTGCATAATTTAGTGGCTTGAATGATATTGTGTTATATAACTATCAGCATCCATCTTCAAAAGTTTTTAATCATGGCAAAGTGGAACTCTATCCATTAAATAATGTCTCCCTGTTTTTCTCTGTTCCAACTGCTGGTGTCCATTATTCTGTTTTAGTTGCTTATTAATTTGACTGTTTTCACCTTATACAAGTAGAATGGTACATTTGGATTTTTTGGTCTCTGGTTTGTTTCACTTAGCATAATGTGCCAAGGTTATCCACATTGTAGCATGTGTCAGGATTTCCTTGCTTTTTGAGGCTATGTAATACTGCATTCTAGGTAAATGCCACATTTTCTTTATCCATTCATCCATTGGTGGACATTTGGGTTCTTCATCTTTGGCTATTGTGAATAATTATGGCTATTGTGCATAATGCTGTAGTAGCACTGATGTACAAATATTTTTGTAAGTCCTTGCTTAAGACCTTTTAAATCAGTTTTTAGTTTAGGTTTCATATTCTTCATTGAGCATCATTTGTATTCCTTTGCATCTGCCTTGACTGTATTTTCAATGTAATAATTGCACTATATTAATTTTAATGTAAATTGTTTCTTAATTTTGAAAATTATAATAAAATTAAAACTAAATTAAAAATTTAGTAAAGTGGTTGTGGAATTCCCTATGAACTTTGAGAAACTAACGAAAGCAATAGTTCTTCACCACCTTCACAGCCCTACGCACACTGAAATCTATAAATATTCAAAGGAATTCATGAATCCTTTCTGTTTCATCCTAGTTTCTATGTTTAGGATTCTAGTTTCTTTCCATATTCCTTTATCATGGGTGTTTAAGGCTTTGAAACAACATTTTTATTTTCCCCTCATCAGTAGAAGTTGGATTCAGGTATGTTTCATGATTTACTTCTACTGTTAGTCTCTGGGCATCATTTGGATCCGTGGGAAGCTGCTACATGTGGTAAAGAGGAGACGATGTAGGGCCAGGTGGCTTTTCCCAAACTCTACACACTAAAGCATACAGGAGGCCTTTTCAGGGCATAGGGTGGACACTAGAGGGCCCTCCTGCTTCTTTAAGACTCAGCATGGTGGGGCAATGGGGACTGCCTCTAGCTGGCTTCCTTCTTCCCAGATCTGCTCTCAAGCTGCTCATACCCTCACTGTATCCACATGGGGGGAGCACTTGTCAGGAAAAATCTACTGACAGATGTGTCCCGAGCTTGTGTTCAGGGATCAGGCATTTGCATGATCAGAGGATCACCTATGATTTTCCATGCTGAGCCTCTGTTTCCAGGCTTGAGTATGGAGGATATTCTACCACAGAGATGTAGAAGAGAGATCTGGAGGAAACAAGTATCATTGCCTTTCTTTTCTGCATAGGACATACTCTCTCAGATGCAGGTTTGGGACCCCAGATCAGGAAAACTGTCACATAGTAGGAGTTCCTTTTGAGACAGAGTTCCTGCAGTCTGGACTGAGACTGTCTTTGAGTCTGAGATTAACATGACAAAACGAAATGTCTACAGTATCCTTACCATTCACAGGGACCAGCAAGTGCAAAAATTCAACATGGACTTGGTGATTCTGTGTTTCAGGAATTGAAAGGAAGCTCAACTGTGTTTGGGAGGTAGAGAGGAAGCAGAGCAACAGAGCCTACTATGTGGGCCTGGAATGTCAGGTTAAGTACTTGAAATGCTTTCACTTCATAGGAATGAGGCACTGGAAGTTTAAAACATGGTAGACATGATATCATTTGCATAGTTTGATAGTCTTTCGAGCAGAAGAGGATGGGAGTGAGATGCCTGGCTGACAGGGAGATTAAGTTAATATGGAGATAATGGAAAAATAAAATAGCAGCATATTGGATTCACTTTGGAGGGAGCAGCCTACAGAGTTGCTAGACCCACAGTAGATCTTGCATGAACAAGGAATAAACTAATGTGTGCTAAGTGACTGAGACCTTGAGTCTTTTCATCCTTTAGTGAAAGCCTTACTGCCCTGCCATTCAGTAAGAGGACAGCCTTCAGCTGTCAACACTTTCAGATGCAGAAAGCTGCCTCACCCAAAGCCTCTTCCTATTTTGTTCCATGTCTAGTGACTGCTCAATGCTGGGGCATAAAAGTTGGGCCATTTCTGCTCATCTTGAGAACACTGAATGGTCATTTTAAGTCCAGAGCTCCCTGCAGTATTGGCTGAGGCTGTTTGAGTCTGAACTCAGCTCAACTTTCCCCTCTACTCAAATCTGCTTCCTTCTCTTCCTTTTCCAAATATGTAGATGGAAAAGCCATTTATAAATATAAACACCCTAGGTGCTGAACTGTGTTTGCTCCTTGGGAACCTAACCTGAAACACTACTGTAAGTCTCCATGGTGTGGTGCAGCATCCTTTCCTTGAGAGAGAAAAGATAGGTTACCCCACTGATGTTGAAATTCTTTGAGTGATTGTTCAGGGATATAAGGAGATAGAAATGTCCAGATAGAAATGTCAGCTTTCAGTTTATGAAATTATTGATGTAACCCTTGGTGAAAACATGTCCCCTTGAACCCCAGAAGTTACAAGAACAGAAGCAGTTATTTTGGTCTTAACATGACAAATAATCTCTTTGCTGCACACCTTGGTTTACTGCATCCACATTCTGGCTCTGAGCAGAACAGTGCCATGTTCAGAGCCTTTGATTCTTATATAGAGTGCTTGTGGGAATGCAAGCATCATAAAAAACCCTTTGAAAAACTGCTTATCAGTGTGTTATAAACACATTTCTATAATAATTCTATTCCTAGGTATATACCCAACCCTAAATTATCAAGAACAATGAATCCATTGCTTGTGACTCTGATAGAGTACTACACAAGGTCTGTGTAATTTTTCATTACACCCATTCCTTTGGGTAAGGAGATTATTTCCATATTTTTATTACCTCAAAGAATATGTCATTGAACATGTTTGTACACAGAAATAAAATTGTTGGGTTGTATTCATGTTTAACTTTTCTAGTGACAGCAAGATGGGTCTCTAATCTCTCTCCATTGGTGCTGTTGGAAAACTCTGTTTTCCTTGTTTTTATTTTGTCAGGCTTTTTCAGTTTTCCTAATCTAAGTTAGTGAAAAATAGCATCTCATTGTATTTCCCTCATGTTAGTAATCTTGTACATCTCTTCATATTTGTTGGCTCTTCAGATTTTCCCTTTTGTGAGTTGCCTTTTCTAAGTTTTGCCCACTTCTTTGAGTTGGTATTTTAAAAAACTGATCTGCAGATAGTTTTGGATACAAACTCATTGTCTCTTTTATTTACAATAAAACTCTATCCCAGACTATATTTTTTCTGTTGGGCTATGCTGAGATCAAGCCCAAGGCATCTGTACCTTTTTGTTCCCTAGCTTTTACCTCATGTTTCAATTTTTTAAAATGTCATTATTACATTGGAATACATTAAATATGCCAGATATTTCCATCATTTTCTGTGCTTTTATTTTTTATTTCATTTTTTGTTTTTGGTACAGGAGATCTTGACTTTGTGCTTGCAAGGCAGGCAGTGGCACCACTGAGCTAAAGCCCCAGCCCATTTTCTGTGATTTTAATTCTCTTTTGTGTCTATTTTTATTTTGTTTCCAAATGTAAAAAAAAGTCAAGCACCTTATGTAAATTACCTGAAATGAGAACATACAAAGCAATTCAGTGTGTATAACAATTCTTTTTTCTCTTCAGTTTTGCTGCTTTATACAATAGTGTCATAGACAGAAAATTTGGATGGCATATGCTTGGTTAGAAAATGTCATCTCTTAAAATTGACAACGCAGGATGATTTCTGTTTTGCCTGCAAGTCAATTTACGATGAGTACTTATTTTTTGTTTTTCATTCAGGAGCCATGTGGAACTGAAAAATTTAGGTCCTCAGTTTTATTCCATGCCTTCAAAGTAAGCATAGATGACAGTATCAACATACTGCAAACTTTTGAGAGTTGAGATATCAGACTGTATTTGTTATTGTAGGTTCAACTATTTAGCCTGAAAATGCTGGATTTTTCTTTTACTAAGTGAAAGAATTTTCTGTAGGGCTTTTTATCTAATTTCACAAGATGGGGTTCCAGAATAGTGAAAACCCTCATGTGAAATTTAAAAGGGTCAAAATTATTCTGATGCCTATACAAATTTTTGCTATTTGCATAGACTAAAGGCAGTTGCTTTGCTGAACACCACTGAAGAAAATTCTGACCCAGGGGGCTCTACTTATTCCTAACATTTGTGACTCAAGAAAACCATACAAAAATACTTATAGGTCAAGTTTTAAGAGATGGCTGACCTGAATATTGTACATGATTTACATGTCAAATAGATATTTCAACAATTTATAATAAATTCATGGATTGTTACCTTTAAGAATATCACAGGGCCAGGGATGTTGCTCAGTGGCACCGCACACCTGGCAAGCGCAAAGTCCTGAGATTGACCCCCAATACTGAAAAAAAGCCCCCCCCCAGTACTGTGATAGCATTTCTGATGGAAGGAGACTTATGTCCAAAACTGGCCCAATTTTTCTGCTGTCCTAATTGTATGTTTAAAGAAATTTCAGAGATTATTAAGAAAAAAATCTTAAATTTCTTGTTGATTGATAGAACAAGTCAATTTGTGGGATTCAAAACATTTCAGTTTTTAAAATCTTCCATAATACATAACCTATAAGAGGAAAAATACAAAATATCTAGATGATCACTTTTTATTACATTACATAATTTAAAATAAAACATCACTATTTGAAGTATTTCTATTTTACTCATTCCTCTGCCAGCATTAATTTTTAAACTATTTTTTATATTTGGTTCAGCTGCATTTATGGCACAATATCTCATTTTCAACACAGCACAAATTTTCCTTAAGTCTAAGGACTCTGTTTTTTAGCAGCAACTATATATATATATATATATATTTTTTGTACTGAGGATTATAAGGCAAATGTTTTAACTATTTTTTTCTACTTTATGCTCACCATTTATAATATTTACAAAAAACTGCTAATGTCTACATAAAAAGTGATCATTCAGTTTGTCCCCCTTACATTTTAGTTAGTTTCTCCCACTCTCCATTTCATACCTCCTTGAGGAAGTGCAGGAGTTTCAGACTAGGTACTTAGGTATTTTTCAAGGTATGCCTCATAAGAGGGAAGACCAAATAATTCTTAGTTCAGGTGGACCCACTGTCCCCAAAGGTAGTTGTGTACTTACTGAACAGCTAGGAAAAAATTAGCCTTTCAAAGGTGCCCTAACAATCTTAAGGCCACAACAGCCTAACAGCAAGAGGCTTGTTTTACCTCACTGTGATGTAGCCTCTAATCCTAATGTTATTGGTAAACATGGAAGATTCACTGAAGGGGCATCACCAAATTAAACAACTAAAAATGTGCTTTAAGAGCAGTTTACATTGAGGCACATGGACACGGACCTCCACATCACCAACTACCTGCACTTCAGGTATGCAGCGCCAATGACCCTTACCATGGTTTAGGTGCTGTGGACAGCGTTGTTCCCTATGTTAGTCTCAGAACACCTCTCCTGCTATGTACGACTTTAGT